AAGTCTGCCTATCAGTGATGAATTCTATAAATTTACCATAAAAATGTAACACTACAAAATATGAGTGTTATGTTACTTATTATCTTATTCTTCTTACCTATAAAAGTATTTTTGTCTGTCTGTGTGTGGACGCCTAATCCTTGTAACGCGTTTAACTGACAAACTGTTGGGTTTACATATTAGCAAAGTACACAGATACAATAAGCTAAGCCCCCTGACAAAAAAAAAACTCGCTATTTGTTTTTGCCCTTAGTCCAATGTAAACTAATAAAATCACACTTTGTAACAATGTAAGCTGATCGTAATGATCACTTTGAGCTCACGCCAAAGCACGCATGTGCTTATGTGCAGAAACGCCAACTCGCGGTTGCCCCTCGCAACGCCAAAAATAAAAACAACCCAATGTGTGCAGTTACTACTGTAGAGTCAGTAGATACTACTATAGAGTCAGTATATACTACTATAGAGTCAGTAGATACTACTGTAGAGTTACTAGATACTACTGACTATTGTATGTAGGGTGTGTAGGTATATATGCCTACAAAATAAAAATTGGGCCGGGAGGCTGTAAAAACATTTTTGGAGGGGGGGGGGGGGAATTGGGGAGAGGGAATAGAATTTTTTTTAAACCTTTTAGATCAATTATTTACCCCCCACTTTATATAACTTTTGATTCAGGCTTTCTGTAAGGCTCTTATAATTTGGTTGACCGGACAAATGGAGAAACGGAACAGCGGGCTTTTATAATAGCTTAGTATTTGTGTATGTATATGTTATGTATTTTTAAGAGAAGACAAGTTTAGAGATACATATATATGTATTTCCCCCCCCCCCCGGGCAAAGCTGGGTACTTCCTGCTAGAATACAATAATAGGCGAAGACACGTTTTTCCTGTAACATTCTGCCCCTCTGGTTGGCTGCTTGGTCGCAGTGACGTCACACCGTACAACCAATCGGCGTGTGCGACATGGTTCATTAACATAATTTGATACGACGCATCATCGCACAGGCTGGTTGCCCACTTGCTGAGCGTTACCTCACATATACATTGGCTGTAAACGTGAGGACCAGGGGCGGTTTCTTCATTAGGGCGATTGGGCGACGCACCACCAATGTCATTCAACCACAGAGTCACGCTAGCCGTCACTGCAGCCTCTGGATATAGTCCAATCAGCGTCATGTCACGTTCTGTGGAGTACCGCCTCTTTTTGGGCGATTTCACTCCGGCTGAGAATCGCTCCGAGTGGCCCCATAGACTTACATTCAAAGATGTTTTTTTTAGAACGGGGGCGCTGCAATGCATTCTCTATGGCTTCCGGGAGGGCTCGCCCTAACGTGCTTACGTCATCATACGTGCTTACGTCATCATACGTAAGCACGTTTCATCCAACAATATAATTTGTGGCCACCTAGTGCAATCTTTAATAAAATAAACTTGAGTGGTTTGTTTTAATAGTGAGTATAGAAACAAACAAGATGTATTGTAAGAGTCACTTTATTTTTCATTAATATTAAAGAAGTGAAGTTGCCTTTACATGCTTAAGCTGTTAATTTATCCATTGCATGGGTGGACCTTATCCTTATCAATCATCCAGACATTTGCCCCCCCTGAGAGATTTTGCAGGAGCCGCCACTGGTGAGGACACAAACTTCCGATAATAAAATAAAGGTGAGACATCCTATCCATACAACATTATTTGCAACTTATCGTCATAACACTTTATGGCTAGTTCTCGCCATACAAACGGGTTCTGTTCCTGAGGCCCGTTCATTGGTCCAACTCATCGTACGTCGACACACTCAGTGCACGAAAGCCCACTAAAGGCAATACGGAGATAACAAATTCCGTGCAAAAAAGCTGTGTCAATACAACTTGCAAACGTCTACTCACACTGGCGAAATTAACCGCGGAACTATTTCGTTTGGAGGTGCAATCCTCCACCAGCTGTAATGAGTCCTTATGTCACCAGTGGGAGTGTGTGTGTTGAGAGTGTGTGTTTTGTGTATGTGTAGTGACATGGAATGGGTCACTATGGCGCCTAGCGCTGGTTTCTGGCCGAGAAGGGAATCTGCTGTTGTAACAGCCCTGCCTGCCAGTGGGTCATGTGATAAGCCGGAGAGAGGGAAGTGGGGCAAAGGTAACAGAGGGGACACGTGGGGTAAAGTCGATAACCTTTTGGTAGGTTCTAGAAGGGGGGCGTGGCCGAGGGTGGAGCGAGGCCACGCTGGGTGGATAAAAGGGGGACCCCGAGCAAGGTTCGCGGCTGCTGTTTGGAGTGGAACCTGTCGTGCTACAGGAGTCTTGGTCACCATCTTCACCTCCTCGGCATTGTTGGTCATGCAGCCTGTTCACTGTCCTGACCATAGTGTAGTTATACCCTGTGTAGATCGACTTAGCCTGAAATGCGCACCCAGTGCGGTGTGCAAACATCGCTACTAGGGAGACAAAGGCGGCCGGGCGTGGTGTTGGCCACCCACCCCCTCGTGCACCGGGCCAGCCTTCATAGGCGCTGCTCGCTAACTGCACTTGCCCCAACAGTCTGCTAAGGCTACACGAGGGATCTTTTTTCCCCGTCAGGAGCGATCGTGTAGCAGTTAGCGCTACGCTGCGTTAACAGGTCCCTGTGGGGTGGGCTGGTAGGACCGAACAATTGAATGGCTATAATAAAATGAAATGGCAAAAAATGGAAGCCAATAAGTGGATGGAAACGTAGACGTAGTGGAACATAAGAAACAATAAAGTAGTAGTAACCGTTGTGCAAAAAATAATAGTATTGCACAAGTATGTACCTACGTGAGTGCAGCTTGGAGCAGACACAGTGAGTAGTAACAATCTGCACGATATGCAGCGCCGTCGGCCACGCCCCTATCACTATTAGCCCCGCCTTCTCGCCCCCGGTACTGTATTCTCGACTGTAGACTCCGCCCCTTTTCGCCAACGGCCCCTCCCTCCATCGCGCTAAGCTCCGCCTCACACCGCTTGACCCCGCCCCGGTCCCCCGTGGCCCCGCTCCGCCCCCGTGGCCCCGCCCTCCACCCGCGTAACCCCGCCCCGGCCACCCGTGGCCCCGCTCCATCTCGGTGTCCCCGCCCAGCCCCGCGTAGCCCCGCCCCCTGCCGCTGTAGTCCCACCCAATACACCCCAAGCGGGGGAGAGATTCCCAGGCCTGGCTCGGCTGGAGAGCCGCCGACGAGGGGGGGGGGTAGGGAGTTGTTTTTTTATGTAAAAGCTTTAAATGTAAATGTTTCTATTAAAAAAACATCAGGGAATGTAACATTGTTAAACATTTACTCCCTTTCACACACGCGGGGGAACTATACGAAGGGAGAGCTTGAGGCCTAGGTCTAGGCTTTAGGCCTAGCTGTAGGCCTTAGGCTGCCGTGAGTTAATTGTTAATATAAATGTTTTAATTATTTATGTAAAAGCTTTAAATGTAAATGTTTCTATAAAAAAACATCAGGGAATGTAACATTGTTAAATATTTACTCCCTTTCACACACGCGGGGGAACTATACGATGGGAGAGCTTGAGGCCTAGGTCTAGGCTTTAGGCCTAGCTGTAGGCCTTAGGCCGCCGTGAGTTAATTGTTAATATAAATGTTTTAATTATTTATGTAAAAGCTTTAAATGTAAATGTTTCTATTAAAAAACATCAGGGAATGTAACATTGTTAAACATTTACTCCCTTTCACACACACGGGGAAATTATACGAAGGGAGAGCTTGAGGCCTAGGTCTAGGCTTTAGGCCTAGCTGTAGGCCTTAGGCCGCCGTGAGTTAATTGTTAATATAAATGTTTAAATTATTTATGTAAAAGCTTTCAATGTAAATGTTGCTATTTAAAAACATCAGGAAATGTAACATTGTAATTAAAAGCTATCTGAGGGAATTATAAGGGAATGTTACACTTGTTTAGCCAGGATAGCGTCACTGAGTCTAAAGGTTTTTGTAGGGTCATGCCAAGTGTTTGCAGTAGGGGGCGATGTTGATACACGGACGGACGGACGGATGGACGGACAAACGGACGGACGATATAATCTATTGGTGTCTGGTCCACTTCGTTCCTACCAGTAAAAACCTGCTGACCCAAGTTCTATTCACGCACCCGCGCATAACCAGTGACGATTATCTGAACTATGCATGGGCCTCCGCTAGGTCGACTCGGCATCAAATAAGTACCTGGTGCGGTGTATAAACATCGCCACTCGGGAGACAAAGGTGGTCTGGGGTGGTGCTGGACACCCACCCTCTTTTGTGCCGTGTCACCCTTCATTAGGTGCTGCTCGCGAATAGCACTTGCCCCAACAGTCTGTTAAGGCTACGTGGGGGTGTGAAAGTTTACGTGCGTGCATTAACAGCTCTGGCGATTATCCCCTATAACTTATATCCACTCAGCCTCAAATGCGTACCGGGTGCGGTGTATAAACATTGCCACTCGGGAGACAAAGGCGGTCCGGCATGGAGCTGGCCACCCACCCTCTTGTGTGTCGTTCCGGCCTTGAGATGTGCTGCTCGCTAACAGCACTTGCCCCAACAGTCTGTTAAGGCTATACAGGGGATCTTTGTCTTTGTGTGCGCGTGTGAAAGTTAGGGTATGTATGTATGTTTTCGGAACAGACCCCTTTCGTAAATCAGGGATTGCCCAAATCCTCGCGGAAGTTTCGCGGGTTTCTGCTAGTTGTAAATAATTCCTGTTTAATATTTGGGTTGCTGTAGGGTAACATAAAACAAAAGGAGGGGTGTTGCATTTCGAACCATGAACCAAATCCTAGTTTTTCCATTTGAGTTTGGGGATCGCGGATTTGCCGATCGCAGCCATTTCAAGAACGTAGCGATGGGCAAAGGTTTGCTGTTTTACAGTCAGCCTGCTCGAAATCCTGCCCACACTTTTGAGTAGTATACTGCACCACTTGACACACCTGAACAATAATGCCTGCGAGGAACTCATTGACAAATACACCGAGAACTAGACTCAAAGGGCGGCGTACAGCAATTTCTCACCAGATGCAGTGGCAGGCATTGTCACTGAATGCACAGTACACCAATGGGTTTATGGCGCTGTTGAGCGCAGGCAGGTTCTGAATGATGAGCAGCGCAAAATTACGTTCCTCTGTCTCGGCCAAGAGGTAGAAGTTGTCCAGAATGTCAAACATTAAGTACGGGCTCCAGCACAGCACAAACGCTGGGAATGAGAACCGAGCACATTTGTTAACAGATACATCTTTCTACAGGCTATCGGCTGGTATAAATAATAGATTTTAAAACAAAATGAAATGTCAAGTGACACATTATGGTTGTTGAAGTTATATAAGAATTGGAAAACTATGTTGTATTAAGCACAATCAAAATAATTCAACCTGATTACGATGTACAGGCAATTCGCGACTTATGCGCACCTGTCTGATAAACACCCACACTCACAAAACAGTTTCCATGACATCTACATTTTTTTTTAACACTGACTTAAAATGCAAACTCGCACTTGCAAACTGAACCACGTAACTATTTTGTTTGGCGGAGCGATCCTCCGCGAGATGTAACAAGTCAGCCTTGCGCCAGGAGTTTGTGCGTGTGTGTACATGGGGTTCCAAGGCTTCGAAGCCACTGTGCAAGCGCTGCGACCCTCCCTGTCCCCCACACTGAGTACACACACGCAGTGCACACACATAGTGTCCTGGCATGGGATTGCTTTGCACAACAGGTTTTAATCCAAAGGGTACCTATGAGGAAAGTCCCACGGTTTCCGGTGCCAGGGGATTGGCCGACCCTTGCAGGACAATTTACATCCCGGTGCCCCTGGATTGGCTTAATAGTGTATGGGCGCAAAAAGGTTATCGGTATAGCCACAATAAGTCATTCATGCCGAGGCAGAAAAAGTGAGAAAAGCAGACGATGAGTAGAGGGGAGCGCAGCGCCACGACCCCCCGCTGACCTCCACACCAAGGAATTCATCTTCAACATCTTGGCCGTCAAGATTCCCCTGCTGTCCTGCCTTCTTCAGGCGCTCACAGCGTCCATGTGATGCCGTGCGTACAGTTACGAAGTACGTGGTAGGATTCTTGAGTGACTGGGTGTGTAGGCAGTAGTAGGCTAGGCTTTTCTCGCGAGATACTCCCTCCGGGTAGTGCAGGCTGGGTAGCTTACTTTAAAGGATTGTGGTTTGCGCCGAGAATAAAAGTGAGCACAGAGCCAGCAGGGGCACGCGCGTTTGTGCAGCCGCCTTCGCATTAGTGGTGGTGTACGTGGGCGTGTGCGGAGTAACATCGTGCGGCGGTGAGCAAGCAGTTTAGCCATGTCTCTCCGAGATGGCGCTAGCGCGGGAGGACCGACCACCCGATTGGCAAGGGCCCGGTGGGAGCTGAGCAATGCGGCAAAGGAGGGGGCGAACGTAGCGCCCCACCTGCCCGATGAGGGCGGTGGGGCGGACGTCGGCCCTCACACACTCAGTCGGCAGTGGCCCGGCAGGAGCCGACTGACGTGGTGGAGTAGGAAGCAGAATGGGCAGATGTCCTGCCCCATCTACCCAGCGAGGGCGGCGGGGTGGACGTGGGGCCCCACATACACACACGCGTGGGTCATGTAGCCTGCATGCCCAGCCACTGCATGCCTGAGCAGCTTTTGTTTGGCCAGATAGAGGGGGCTAAATGGGCGCGGCAAGGGCTAGGGAAGAGATGGAGTGATGTGGCACAAGAGGATGTGGAGCTAAGTGGACTTCCCGACCACTGGTGCCAGCGGTGTCAAGATTTGCCTCTGTGGAGGAGGCTCGTGAAGGACGCTGCTGCTGGGCAGTTGGAGGCAGTCACCCTCCAGCAACAACGGAGGGCAAAGGAGCGACGCTCACAACAATGAGCGGAGCACCGGTGGATAAAACACAGCAAGTTGGTACAGTAGGGGGCACAGGTGGTGCATCGGCCAGTCATCTCAGTCAGTCGACCCATGGCACCTGGGTCTGCCCCGTGACCTCCTGACTGTGGGCATTTGACACTTCACATGGTTTTAATGTGCACATAGCCTGGCACAAGCGCCATGGTGACGTCACCACCACTTAGTGACGAATGGCGGTTGTTGTTGTTGCACACGCATGTGTGTGTGGGGAGAGGTTGCACAACGCTGTGAAAGCTACGTGGTCTGTCGCTCCGCACGAAGTTTCGGGTCTTCTTGGCCAAAGTTACACCCTCACTTCTCTATGATTGTGAAACATGGACCCCTCCAATTGGACATCTGCGCCAGTTAGAAACATTCATATTCTTAGGTGTTTTCGGTAAAGTCACGTAGGTGTAGGGGTGTTAGAGAGAGAGCCGTTATGCATGGCAGCCTATGGCAAACAAACACAGTGGGCGGGGCTACGTAAGTGCACGGGGAGGTGCCCTCTACGACGTCCGAGCCAGGCACCCTGGGGGGGGCTGGTTCGAACGTTATGATCCCCCGAGGCCCCACCCCTCAGGGAGGGGTTGGGTATAAAAGGGGATGTATCAAAGGGCTCGGGAGTGGAGTTAAAAGCTAACCAGAGAAGACTGAAGACGTCTTAGATAGAGCCCTGGACTCCCCTAGTTCGATGTCCTTATCAGGGCCGAACAGGACTGAGCCAGCGACGTGGTCCCGAAAGCCAGAGCCGGTGCTCTTGTAAGAGCTGGTCTGGGACTCCGGGTACCGGGCCTGACTTACCAGTGTCGGGCCAGATAGCCTCCCCTAGCCCGTTAGTGGAGGACTCGGGGGTAGGACAGGGATAGCTAGGGGTGTATTCCCAGTTATACGGGTGAGGGGGCCGATACCCCCTCGAGTGTTATATGCCCACTGTTGTACTGTAAAATAAATACACGTGTGCCTCCACCTCGGTGTCAAGCGTCCTCACCGGTACTTCAACTGGAGTCAGAAGTAATACGAACATGGAAACGCGGAATACAGCTCGGGCCAAAGTACCACAGGAGGAAGACACTGCCGAGATCGTCGGGCCCGAGACGGCTCCACAAGACATGGTGCAGCCGGGGCCTGGCGCCTTCTTACCGGGGCATCGGGATGAAGAGGGGCCGCAGCCAGACGCGTTACGGCTGGCTCACGGAAGGCTGGCGGAGCTGCTGTATGCCGCTGCCGCCACGCTGGAGACCATCACGCGATTGGGGACTGGTGATCCACCACGGGGCGAGGCGAGCCGACGACCGGGACGCCTTCCCGCCATTTCAGAACAGTCGGAATTTGAATTTCCCGCCATCGACGCTACAGCTGCTCAGGGCGTGGCCAGCTTGAACATCCGCTCCGACATCGGCCTCGCTGGAGCTGCAGCGTCATCACCGGCGGAGGGTGCGTCATTACAACCGCGACAGGCGATCCCATCGGCCGTTCGCGCCGAGCCACAGCCGAGTCGGGGTGACAACAACCTACGGGGTCCTACAACAGCCGCTGCGCTCCACCAGAGACTGCCCCCGCTTAAGGAGTTCGTCGGCGCGGAGGGAGACTGGGGCGGCTTTCGGCGACGCTTCCTCGCCCACAAAGAAATGGTGAACTGGTCGGACGAGGAGGCTCTCCGCGCGCTGCCGGCGCTCCTCGACGACGACGCGCTCGCCGCCCTCACATCGGCGCCGAGGGAAAAGCGTTCTACGCTGCCGATGGCGCTACAACTGCTGGCCGGGGTCTATGGACCATCAGCTGAATGCCGACAGCAGTTTTACGATCGCAAGCGGGGTGAAAAGGAGTCGCCCCTGGCATATCGGACGAGCCTCCTGGCGATGGCAAAGACGGCCTTTCCTCGTATGGACGATGACGGCGTGGACGCGATGGTCACGGAGAAAATACTCCTCCTGGCAGACGACCTTGACATTGCTGTCGTCGCACAGGAGGACGCGGAGATGACATCGCTCCAGGCTGCGCGGCTCCTCCACGCCAACCTTCTGTCACTGCGGCGGAAAGCCAGCAGGGCATTGGCCGGGCGTGCGGTGGCTGCAGCCACCCTTCCGACGGAGGAGCTCTACGCCGTCGACCACCGACGGCAACATGCGACAGGAGCACGGTCGGGCCGGGACGGGTCGAGCCACTTCCACCGTCCATCATCTCCGACGGCACTCCCACGGTGTTTCAACTGCGGCGTCCGGGGCCACGTCGCCTCGGGGTGCCGCTCTCCTCGACAGCGCGGGACGACACCTCAACGGGACGACGGCCCTCGTCACAAGCTCCACCATCATAACCCGGCAAGTCGCGGCACCCCACATGTTTGGCCCACGCACACGCCCGTCACGCACTCAAACACCGCAACGAATGGGGGGCTGATATCGCGCACCATCGCACCATCACGCACCACTCTGGGTACTCATATCGAACCCGGCCAGTGGTCCGTGTTGGCCGATCGTGTGGTAGCCGCATCGTCGGGGTCGTCTGCCGTTGTGGGGCACATCGACGGGGTTGAGGTACGCATCCTGGTCGATACGGGAGCATCGGCGACCATTATTTCGGAGTTAATTTACAATATTCTCCCTGTCCAGAGCCGTCCTTTGATGCCTGTTAACGTGCCATTCTATGCTGCTAACGGGGGCTCACTTGGCATCATCGGACAGATTCGTGCCCAAATTTGTATTGGGGAAATTAAATTGTCTGGGCCGATTTTTGTTTCCTCCTCGCTGGCGGTTCCGTGCCTGCTGGGGACGGACTTCCTGGCCAAAATGCCGATTAGGATATTAATCGACCAGGGATGCATTGAGCTCCCGTCGGGCCGACGCATGGCGTTTCTGCCATCGCCAGTTACGACTCGGACGGCGTTCGCGACGGTGCCGGCATTCGTAGATAGAACGGTGCGCGTCCCTCCGGGGGCACAAATGTTGATTCCTTTGAAACTTCGGCGGCCCTTCGCTAAGGGTATTGGGGCCCAAGGGGTTCTGCTGGGGCCGTCTAGGGCCGGGGTTAGTGGACCTCATTTACTCCCGGCCCAGACCATAGTAAAAGGGGACGGTGAACCCTTCATCGCGGTCCTCAATGTGGGCTCGCAGACGGTGGTGGTCCCACAGGGGACCGTGCTTGCTCACGCAACGCCGGTGCCATGTGAGGAACCCGTCGCAAATCACGTCAGCGTTGTCCCTGCGCCGCGACCGCATTCGGACAGCGATGAAGGGTGGCTCGAGGCGCTTTGTGCGGGATCGACGGACCTGTCGGATTCAGAGCGTCAACAACTTAACACACTACTGCGGGAATTTTCCG